TAGTTTTGTGCTGTTCTATTAAGGGAAAAGTTTGTACTGTTGTAAGAGAAAAAGTTATTTGGCAATTTCATTAATAGAATAATATTAATTTCTGAGAAGAATAAAGAGTTTGAAAAGACACTTTTCCCTTTTCTATTATTATTTTCCTTGTTTTGACACAATAAATGAACTCAGAAAAGCTGACTCTTTAGAAACCCAACTAGCTAAATTAATTGCATCTTTAATCATCTGAACAGCTTTCAGCTGTGCTAACATAATTGGAAAAGAGTTTTTTAAATGATCAATTAGCCTTTTAACATGATAAACTTGCATTAGGTAACACAATGAGCCAGTGAAACAGAAGTGTTGTCTGCTGAAAACAGACTTCAGCCTGTGTAGATGGTTCATTTAAAATCATTAGGGATTTATCATCGGCAATTCCATTAATCATTAATCATCAATTACAACGTTTCATTTGACTAGGTGTTTATGCTGATATTGTTTTGTCATGCAGGTCTTCCACTCGATTCAGAGAACATGCATGGAGCTGCTGAAGGTCATTGAGCAGTATCAGAGGAGGATCTGCCGTAAGTTCAAATATAATTATTAAATCACTTTCAGCACAACGAATCTACTGATTGAGTTTAAGACTTCTAGAATGTCAACCAAAACAAACACATTCTTAAGATATTAATATCCATCCAGAGTGATTTCTCTCTCTCTTACTGTTCAGTCCTTTCCCAAGAAGAGAACGAGCTGGGTCGTTTCCTGCGCTCCCAGGGCTCTCAGGATAAAACCAGAGCTGGAAAGATCATGCAAGCCACAGGAAAAGCTCTCTGCTTCTCATCACAGCAGAGGTAGGGGACACGGATCAATGTACAGTCTGCCACATCCTTAAAATAAATCACATGCTGCACTAGAAAATAGCTTCAAGTAAAGGTCAGCCAACTGTATCACCCCAAATCCACAAAAAGGATGGAGAGTCGTATCAGGAACGTTCATCAGGAGCAATAAAATAGCTGCCCTAACAGAGCAGATAACAGGGTTATTACACAGCATAGGTACTCTCACACTACTGAAAACAGGGATTTCATTTACGTGTCTGAATCTGAGTGTCAGTCTGACAGTAGTAGTGATAATTATTATTAATATGACTTAGTAAATTATATTGTTTAGATTTTGTAAGATGTGAACGTCATGTTGACGATTTTGGTTTTGCCAGTATTTCTATTTTTTCCCCCACTGCTCATCTTTTGATTCTTGAGTTCACCATTTGAGTTTCCAAGATCATTTAAAGCTTTACGTCCTGGAGCTGAGATACTTTTCAGTGCAGCTGAATAAATCAGCAGACTAATCTGCAGCGTAGACAACACATGACAAATTTTCCACATGATGATCCGAGCCACATGCAGCACCTTAATACGGAGTTTAATACGACACCCTGCAGATTGGCTCTGAGGAACCCGCTGTGCCGTTTGTACCAGGAGGTGGAAACGTTTCGTTATCGTGCCATCTCAGACACGTGGCTGACAGTGAATCGAATGGAGCAGTCAAGGACTGAGTACCGTGGAGCGCTGCTTTGGATGAAGGACGTATCTCAGGAGCTCGACCCAGATACACATAAACAGATGGAGAAATTCAGAAAGGTTTGTTTTGTTTTTTTCAGAGCACAGCAATGAAGAGATTAACAATTGTTTTCATAGCAGAAAGAAAAGCTTACATACTAGCACAAATAATGCCTGCATTCTCTTTAGTTTTGCCCATCTCAGGGCTCAGGCATACGTGATAGCTCAAAGTGACACTTCAGGGTTTAAGCTGCACCTCCTGTGACAATTCATAATGTCTATATAAACCAGTAAGTCACAACTGCATATAATCCAATTAATTGTTCTTTTGTTAATTTAATGGGTACTTCTCAGACTGCAGCCCCACTGTTGATGTGATGAAGTGTTGCTCCCGCCTAGAGCAACATAAAAACAGTAATATCAGAGCCCTGCCAACGCAGTCTGTGGGAAATTGGCAAAAATATTATGACTTCCACAAATTCAATTTCCTCCTTTGCCGCAGGGCCTGCAGCAATCATTAATTAATCTGTCAATTTTTTTGATTAAATGTTTAGTCTTAGAAAATAAATGTCAGAAACACTGGAAAACGTCCATCATCAGCTTACAGTGCTTCGTCTGGTTC